ACATGCTTCTGCAGCAGACCAATATTTAAGCCAAATGGAGATGACACTCATTTTGGAAACTAGATGAGCACTGTTGATTAAGCCATCTACATAGTAGTATAGGCAGAAGGCATAAGCTCTAAGTGTTGCATTAGCAAAGGATCAGTGAGGACAGCAGCTGGATCCTGTAACATGAGTTCAATCCATTCCCCTATGGTTTGACATACTGACATCACAGCAATTGTAGGATGCATAGCAGGACCTTCTAGTAATAACAGATATTTGGAAAGTACTTTAAAGTGGCAGGAAATCACCAGCTCCACAGTAGAAATAGCCTGCTTTAAAAAAAAAAACAACAGACCTGGAGCAGATACTGCTCAAAAAAAAAAAAAGACAGCAAGAAAAATGGATAAACTTTTCTGACTAGAGAAAAGATACATCCTCCTAGGACACCAGCAATAGCCAGAAGCATGCTGGCAGTGGAAGGGGTTATACCTGGCTGGTCAACAGTTTTTTGGTTTACCAGTGTCCAATTTGCAATTAAAAGGCAGAAGTATAACCCAATTGTCTCAAAATTAGTATTGATCCTGGGTCCCTTAATGATCGATAATAAAATACAGTTTAATAAATTTTTTCAAGGTCATTTGAGTAGAAGCAATTCAAATGCATATTAAAACACATTGCAAATAAGCTGAGAGAATGTATTTGCAATGAGTTTTTCTTAACACCAATAGAAGGAAAATAATCAAATAGAACAGGTTGTCTTGGAAGAAATGTCAAACAACACAATGCAAATCAAACAATGGTGAAAACACTGGTCTGTGCTGCCCTGTAAGATTTAACTCATATTTCAACCACTGTAGTCATACTAAACCAATTGTCAACTAAACCAATTGTTTTGGATAGAGTAGGAAAGGGTTAGAATGTGCGAGATTATTATTACTGTCCGTGCCCCTGCTGGGGAAATTCTACCTCGCTGTTTGTCCTACAGAGCATTGTCACTGGGGCTTAAAGTGAGGAAAAGGGTTATCATCACTGGACACTGGATGAGGAGTTGATGGGAAATGTTCCAATGGAGACACATGTTCCATAGAACACAGTTTAAGAATGGATTTTCTTTGATTTGATACTTAATTCTTCTTGTGTTTCCAGATAGAGGTGAAGAAAAATCTCTCCAATAAGACAGACAGCTAAAATCTTGTCTGGGGTTTTAACTATTTCCTACGTTATCAAAACCCAAAAAATTGTTTTTGCTTTAGATATGCTTTAAATATTTTAACATAACATGACAGACATAGTTGGTTTAAGTGTTTAGGTTTAGATAACCTCAGACCTTCTGCCACTATTGATATGTTTGTTGCCTTATCCAGCTGAAGACGGCCAAATTGGGTGACTATCATATCCTGTCTATGCGCTGCCTTAGTGACTCTTTGGGTGAGAACAGATATGTTTTTAGGCACAGCATCTGAAATGTAAACTAAATGCTCTTGATAACTTTTAATACTACTTACCATGCACCCCTCTTTTGATGTCCCTTCACGGTAGACTTATGCTAACCATACATGCTCAGATTTTTATTATTCAGCGCTGAAGGCTGAACAAGAGAAATCAGTTGATTTCCCCATTCAGTTAAACAGCGTGGATGGAAGCATCAAGCATGTATTATTTATTTATATTAGGTAATACTATAGCGCTGACAATTTATGCAGCGCTTTACATAGTTTCACATTCACATCGGTCCCTGTCCTCAAGGAGCATACAATTGAAGGTCCCTATCTCACATGAATACATACACGCTCAATTTAGACAGGAGCCAATTAACCTACCAGCATGTTTTTGGAGTGTGGGAGAACATGCAAAGTCCTTGCAGATAGTGTCCTGACCGGGATTTGAACCAGCAAGACAGATGTGCTACACCACTGTGCTGCCAGCATATCTGCTGCTAGTTCGCCCCTAGATGCCTTAATACACGTACAGTGATTGCATCTATTTGATCCTCTGCGATCCTCCGATGGGGTTACCCACGGCATGAATTCTGTCGAAATCAGCAGGAGTCGGCCAAGATTCAAGCCATGTACGGCTACCTTAAGGCCCCATTCACACCAGGGCGGTCGCGGATCAGCGCGGTTTCGTGCAGATTTTAAAAGGGCGGTTTAGGTTGTTTTTAATTGCATTTCAGCGCTGAAACGCAATTAAAAAAGGCCAAAACCGCACTGATTAGCGCAGTTCCATTGGAAGCAGTGTATAAACCGCACTGATCAACGCGGCAAAAAAGGGTCAGGGAGCAATTCGGGCATGATGCAGTTCGGATTGTGCGGAGCCCTGGTGTGAACGGGGCCTTATAGTGACAATGTGACATTGGAAAAGAATACTTTTGCAATGCACCGCTGTGTCTTTGCACACTCACAGCTCACTGACTAAGGGAGATTACTGATAGTACAGCTATTCGTGATCACTGGAAAATATCAATAACACTGTCACGAAAATGAACACACCGCAGATACAGGAAATAGCCATGATATCGAACATTAGATCATATTGAAAGCTCTGGAACTCTCCCTGTTTCCCTTGGGGTATTACATACAGTATATCATAGGAATTTACAAACTACTATACATTTTGAAGATTAATTTATAGTATACTCCTTTCTTATAAAAGCTATCAAGCCCATGCTCCAGAAGTGGATTGCCTACTCAGGAGACACTGATGTAAGGATGTCTTGTTATCCAGGTAGATGCCCAGAGTATATCAGGCCAGTATATTAGGCCTCATTAACACAGGCAAATAACCTACAACCTTTGATTTCGGATGCAAGAATCCGCAGATTTTTGCCGCAGAAATCTACTGCTAGATCTAATTAGCTTGTGTGAATGGGAACTTAATTGGGGGAATTTATCAAAACTGGAGCAGACAGCAACCGATCAGCTTCCCTCTTATGTTCAGATAAGATTTGAACATGAAGAGAGAAGCTGATTGGTTGCCATGCACAGCTGCTCCAGATTGTGTCTGCTCCAGTCTTGTTTTTTAGTTTTAGACAAAGTAGGGGAGGGTTAAAAACCCTGTCAGGTTAATATTTGCTAAAGTGCCACCATTGGGGAGACTTACTTTCACTTCCTGTCCTGGAGGCACAATAGGAAATGAAAGGAAGTCTCTCCAAAATGACCATAGGCAGTTTGATAGGAACAGCTGTCACCATAGGGGGATTTTGCCTAATTTCTTGTTCTGGTGATATTTATAACATTTTGTATTTCCCATCACTCTCTGTCTCAGTGACAATGGTCACAAGGGCAAATAGAGAGAGTGAATCTCCCTAGTGGGGACACATACGGCAAAAACACTGACACAATAAAATAAACACAACTTTCTTACCTGTGAATAGAGCTAGAAAACATGATCTGTTGGACACTGAATTCCTAAGATTACCCTGTATACTATTACACTTTTATTTATTTTAGCAATATTTTTATTATAGTAGACTTTAGGTTATTCATTGCTTTAAATTCTGATTTAAGAGCAAACCGGGCAAACATAATGCGCTGATTATCTTTACACAATAAAAAAAACAGCAAAGCTATATAAAATTACTGTGCTGTATGTATTTATGAAACCCACAAAAATCTAAACTATCTTTTTGAAACAAAACAACTAAGCTATCACTACCTCTGGGATTTCTCTGCTGCGGATGTGAAACTCTGTTCCAATCACTTCAAGCTATTTAGAGGTTAGTGATGTACAGCTGCAAGATTCTACTGACCCAACTTGCATCCTGCGGGTCTGGCTACTAGAAAAGCACTAGACAACTCCACCTGATTCCTGCTAGTGATCATAGGCTTTCGATTACACGGGGGGAAGAAACGTCAATTTCACGTGTTCTTTCATCATCTTACACTAAACACATTGTGAGTGTTATTTAATGCTTCCTCATATGGGGTCTCCATGGAGTGATCCCGACAATAATAAAAAGATCAGTAATGTCCCCTTTCTACAGAAACAAAACAGATTTCAGTGATCAGTGATGATCAGTGATGATTTCTGATTGGTTGCCTTGGACGTTTTTGCTCTTTTCTCCACAAAATAGAGACCAAAAGTGGGCAACATCATTTCATATGATACAGGCTATTAGTACGTACAAATAACATTTTAAATGTCTCAAAGTATGAAAAACAGAGACTCTCTAAACACAGCTGTTTATCATTATGTACTGAAATGTCTATGGTAGGGGTAGGAAACCTCGTCACTTCAGCTACTGTGGAACTACAAGTCCCACAAGGCATTGCAAGACTGAAAGCCACAAGCATGGCTCCCAGAAGCAGGGGAATTATGAAATTTGTAGTTTCACCACAGCCAGAGGGCTGAGGTTGCCTACCCCTGGTCTATGCAGTAGAGAAAAGTAATCTGAAAAACACTTACTTGATGAGTCCATCTTCCATGTAAATGTCAGCATAGAAAGACTGGTCATCATTCACTATCCGACCTCCTTTGATCAAAAGACGGTCACTCTGCAATACAATGGAAAGTATTTGGTTAACAAAAAGAATTTGATGTTATGCAAGACTTGTTACTACACAGCAAGGTGAGTTACTGCACTCAGCAGAGCAAATACAATGAACATTGTTCAGATTTTAAATCATGCGATGGAATTTGCATACATTAATAGAGTTCATTTACTAAAGGTAAATAGGCAGTTCACTTTGCAAGAGCATTTTTCCTTAGCTTAGTTAATGTGGTGAATATTCGCTTGGCAAAGAATGCCCAATCACGTGCAAGGAAAAAGTCTTCACTTCATTTACTAAGCAAAGTGAAAATTCCCTTGCAAACGGAACAGCCTATTTGCCCTTAGTAAATCAACCTCAGTATCTCCAATAGGCACTCTTCAATGGCTGAGCAGGCATCACAAGGAGGCTAGAAAAAGAGAAACAGAGTGGCTCAACCCTCAAGCATCCATTTCTGTTGGTGGAATTTCGGTGCCCGGTGAGGCATCTACTGAAGCCTTAAGTTCATAAACATGTAAAAACCAGTACTCACGACGGGGTCCATCCACTAAGGCCCAGTTAAGGGACTGAAAAATGTAAGATGTCTGCTATTGGCTGTTTGTATACCTTTTGAAATAAAGTGATAGTAATGTATGGACCCCTTCGCGAGTGCCGGTTTTTACAAGTTTACATCACAAGCAGGCATTGGCTTTCTAAAATGAATCATGTGCCCCTTTCCCTGGTACATGTCCTTCATATAGCATTTACTATTCTTTATTTCATGGTCAGGGTATCCACCCATTAAGACTACTGTCCCCTCCCTCGGTCAGTATTTGGGACACAACTCTGTTCAGTGGGTAGAAACAAGGGATGTAGAGGTCACAATTGTGACCAGGTCTCTACTCCTGGGGTCTCTACTCAGCAAGGGTCCTGGATGGGGGGACTCAGGTGAGTACAATGAGAAGAACTAAACCCCTGACAGGAAGGGTTAGAGGGAGGTGGATGGAAGGCATGGTAAGGAGACTTTGCCCGGAGTGATGCTTTAACACAGTATTTTCGAGATAGTTTGGAGTTAGCATGCTAAATTAGTAAACACAAGTCTAATTTCCTCTGCATACTCCCTGCTGTGCGATATCATAACATTTGCCATTCTTCTCCTCTCCCTTGCGGCTTTAATGTTTATTTTCCTCTGCTAATTTTGTTTAGTGGTTTCTAGATCTTCGTGAGCAAAAAAGAACTTAAAATACACATTATTACATGTCAGCAAAGGAACCATAATGCATTTTTAAACAAGTTACAAATGTATTATATGTACAGTATATGTAGATTCAGGAGTTTATTGTCAGACAAAAATATACATAAGGTTTCTGTTTATCCCACAAATACATACAATATATACTGTTAGATCTACCAAACAAAATTGAATTTGACGGTGCATTATGTACAAAGGTCATGCACGCCATCACCCAAGGATTACAATCCATGGATGGGTAACTGCAATCCTACTGACTAATATGATTCAGACAACTAATCAGCAGATCGATCTCCATGCCTTTACCTTCAAATGCGCGTTTTGACTGACAGCTTAAAAAACATTGCGGTCAATGGACAAACCGCGCACGAAAATGTGCAACATGCTTTTGCCAGGAGTTTCCATTGAAGTCTATGGGGCAAAAAATGCGCTGTTAACTGCCCAAAGAAGCTCCTGTAGCTTTTCAAACCTTTGGCGTTTTCCTGCTGGCCTTTTTCTACTCAGGTGTGAACAGGGGCCATTGAAAATCATGGGATTTCTTGTGTTGGGCGTTTAACAGCACTTTTTCTACTACTCAAAAATGCCTAGATGTGAACCAGGCCGAAAATGGCATGCTTGAGTCAAAGAGGAGGGAATTTATCTGGAGACAGCAGACAGAATCTGGAGCAGTTGCCCATAACAACCAATCAGCTTCTTTGTATCTTCAGTTTGTTCAGTTAAGTTTTGGAAATTAATGAGAGAAGCTGATTGCTTGCCATGAGGAACTGCTCCAGATTCTGTCAGCTCCAGTTTTGATAAATTCTCCTCAGAGTCTTTTTTTACACTCTTATACTGTTATAAATAGGCAGTTTTGCAGAACTAAACCTCCTTTCCTTCTGCACCTAAAGATGGTGCCATCCTAGCCTCTAGATCTGCTGCTGCACATGCAACCGGCTATAATTTAGAGCTGATGAGCTCACTGGCAGCTGTTACAGTTATCACCAGAGCTTAGCCTTGAATGTGGATAAAGCTGGCTATACACTGCTAAAAATTTCGGCCAATTGCAGGAAAATTTGAGATGTGGGTAGCCCTGCTGGCACCACCCAGCTCTGCCAATCTTGACTGCACCCAACCAACTACAGTCACTATTAGGGTATTCTGACAGTGACTGATGCTGGTTGTCACCTTTACAATGCATATTCACTAATAGTCAGAATGTAGATAACTGCAAAAAACAAACACTGTATGTTTGGTCAAGGAGTTAATAACACTTAGGCCTATAGGCCAGAATTAGACTGATTTATTCTAATAAAAACATTAGGTATTGGATCATTTCTTCAGCTAGAAGACTAGCTAAGTTAGTGTTTAATTGCTTCCATCACACTGCAGCAATCTTCTGTTGTGTATCTGGAAACAGTTCCAGTCACCTCTTGACAACCATATTCATGGCACAACTGAAAGAATTCCTCTGCTTTTTAATATTCAGTGATTGGTTGATCCAGCTGTAGTGTTTGCCCGTCAGTTGAGATATCTGCTTATAAAACAGTTCGGAGTACAGTTTTACCATGGAAACAGTTGTCAAGGGAAAGTTGGCACCTCCTTCAAGAGTCAAGCAAGAGAAATCAGCAATTCAGCAGAGAATCCATTTACATTTTAAATCATTCTTAGATAAAAGACTGAGCCATCTTCTTTTTCAGTTCTTTCATTTGGGCTCATTCACATGATGTGCAGATGTACATGCCCATGCAGAGAGCTGCTCTTGGGAGGGACGGGTGCTGCGTGTAATTGCATGCAGCCACCTGTACATCCCTATGGGAGGATGCGGCTGCAGGCGGTTACACGTCGACCTGAACATCCTTGCAGGTCCATGTGCCCGCACTTGGGCAGAGACAGTGTGCAGGTACAGGTCGCTGGGTAGCCCAACACAGCCGTGTCCTTACATAGGGCTGTACAGGCAGCTGCACACAATTACACGCAGCACTTGGGTGCAGAGAGTGTGCAGGTTCAGGTCGCCGTCTAGCCCAGTGCGGCCATGTCCTTACATAGGAATGTACAGGCAGCTGCACACAAAAACACGCAGCACTTGTCCCTACTGGGAACAGGTCTCTACTCAGACGTGCACACCGTATGGATGTGCATGCCTGTGTGAATGAGCCCTACAAGTCATGCAGTAAAAAACGGTCTCCATTTTATCAAAATCTTATGCACAAACATGCAGGGGCTGTTCACACAGTGCCGTGGCCTGCGCTGTGCCACATTGGATCAATGCGGGCCACAGCTAGGACACATAGAAAACAAGTTAAACAAGTGTTTTCTATGTGTGCCTTTTACGCTACAATGTGGGTGTGATGGGCAGGACGGGGAGCTGCAATAAAATGCAAACATATCGCATTTTATCGCAGTGCAATGGATGCTTTACATAATTTTACATAGTAGTTTGAAAAATGGTACATTATTTGTTAATTATTAGGTCTAAGTTAAACTGCACTTTTTAAAATCATGGATAAAGTAGTGAGTGTTAGAACCTATGCCACGTTTTTATTGCTGCCTTGGTCTTTCTTTGCTTCCTGCTCAGGTAGTATTACATGCACTACCTGCTTTATAATTAGTTTCTCAACATTACAAACTTGACAGCCATCCAAATTATTTTCTATGTTATTCAAAACTACAAGGTTTTAGCTGAGATACCTTACAAGGCAAAATAAAAAATAAAGCCTGAAATGCATACAGGAAGCATAGACTTCCTGCACCAGTCTACACCACTCTCTATTGTCTGTAATGTGGTGATCCTGGCTCATATTTGCTGTTGATGCTGGAACACACACCACAGGATCCTTACTGCTTCAGACATACAGAAATCTTGATGTAAAAAAATGACAGGTGCCATGTGTCAGCCCCAAACCTACCTTTAACAATGCTAATGTGGCAGGTGAAGCAAGGGGAGAGGAAGTTAAACAATACCGCTTTCAAAAAAGTACATTCCTACTGCTTCTCTATGGAGCTATGTGTGCTTATTCTGCAGGAAAAAATACAGAACTCAGAAAACTAAGTAAACTTGCAGATTTTAGCACAGCTGCTGTGTTTACTGGATAGCACTGAATGCTTTCACACTGGATCCGCATTATACATTCGTTGTAACACATCTACAAGAAATTGTTAGGGCCACGGAAAAGGACGTATAGGAGTAGTGGCCCCATGGGATTGTCGCACTTCCAAAACAATAAGAAGTATTAAATAAGTTGATTTAATCATAAGCATTGGTTTTATATAAAAGGTCAATTAATTTAAAAAAAGAAAAGAAAAATGTATGTGGCATGTTGTCGCATACGCTGCTGGCTTTTTTTTCTATTTTCAGGTTGCTAGGGGCATAGCTGTATCTGGGCAGAATCAAAGGTAACGATATGACGCTTACCAATGGTTGCGGCTGTCACCGTGCAGAATCCCTGGACAGATGGCATATGGATTGGTCTTCTCGTTTTGGAGGGAAATCAGCTGGCCAATTGTGGTGTCATTAAGTGTATAAAAACTGGCCTTAGTTACTGGGCAGTTCATCTTTACCACACAGTTCAGCAGGAGTAGTCGGATCAGCTTCACCTCTGGATTGCCTGGAATTTGCTTCCCGCCCTCCCGCCCGTATCTTGGGCTTGTCGCGGTCATCCTTTGTTGGGGTAATGTCGCCCACTTTGTGGGTGGACAGGAAGTAGAGGTCTTAAGTGGTTTCATGGACTCTTTGCTCGAGTCTTTTGACTGAGCATTATTGGAATTTTATTTATGGTGGTTTATGGTTAAACGTTTT